CCCCGCCGCACCACCATTTTTAGAAACCGACAAGTTTTGCTAATGATGCCTGCGAGCGGTGGGGGGGGGCTGCCTGCACCCCGGCCCCCCCAGCCCCCGCTGCCCACACCCCGGGCAGGCTGCGTGCCCAGCCCCGGGAGTCAGCCTTGGGCACCTCCCCACCTGGTGCTGGCACCCGTACCTGGGGGCGCCCGCACTGCCCGGGGCACCCCTGCACCCATCTGGAGCTCTGCTGGCCCCTGGGGAGCTCGAACGGCACCCGGGGAGCTTTGGTGGCCCCGGGGATTTCTGCTGGTCCCCAAGCAGCTCTGCTGGCCTCTGGGGAGTTTTGGTGGTCCCTGTGGAGCTCTACTGGCTCCTGGGGAGCTTTAGTGACCCTTGGGGAACTCTGCTGGCCCCCAAGCAGCTTTGCTGGCTTGCAGGGAGCTTTTCTTTAGCCCGAAGCCTTCCAGCCTGTAAGGAACATCTTTTTCTCCTTTTTCTGCCCCTGAGACAGCATCTGCCCTCAGCCGGGGAGGCTCACCCCATCTCAGCACCAGCTCAGGACCAGCACCAGCCATGTGCCGGTCCCGGTCCCAGTCCTCTCCCTGGGGCTGGTTCTCTCCTGGAGAGGAGCCCCACTTGATTTGCACGTGAAAATTCTCGTCTTGACCGGCCTCCCTGTGCCCTGGTCCCTACGGCCGCAAAAGCCTCTTGGAGAGCAGGGACCACTCTGGGGAGCCTCAGGGGACCCCCAAAGGTCTTCCAGTGGGAAGGGGAACCAAATCCCGATGCCATGGGTGATGTCATCACTGTGATGCAGGTGGTCGCTATGGCGACTAAGCCCCCCCAGGCAGGGCTCCGGGGACCAGAGCCAGCCCTGGATGCGATGGGGGCCAAGCCAGCGGAGAGGTACAAGACTTTGTGCGCTGCCATCGACATGGGGACGGGCCACACCAGGAGCGGGCTGGCCGGGGACGAGCAGCCACGGTCCGTGGTGCCCAGCCAGGCGGGGGGTGGCCCCATCCTCACCCACGGCGTGGTCACTGACTGGTACGGGCTGGAGGAGCTGTGGCACCGCGTCCTCTACCAGAAGCTGGACGTCTGCCTCGAGGAGGTGGCGGTGCTGGCCACGGACACCCTGCTCTCCCCTGCTGCCAACCGGGAGAAGGTGGCTAAGCTGCTCTTCAAGGGCTTCGGCGTGTCGGCCATGCTGGTGCTGCCCCGCTCCCTGCTCGCCGCCTACTCCTTCGGCCCAACCACCCGCGTGTGGGGCATCGGCACCTCCTATGCAGCGGGGGTGCGGGAGGGCTATGCGCTGCCCCACGCCATCTTCCGCCTGGACGTGGCCGGGGACGCCCTCACCTTCTACCTGGGCTGGCTGCTGGGGTCCCACGGGGTCCACCTGGGCGCCGATCCCCTGCACTGCTTGAAGAAGACCTGCTGCTGCCTCCTGCCGGGGGCCGGGGGGGCCCTGCCCCTCACCCTGCCCGGTGCCTCGGGGCTGCTGGGGGGCCCCCCCCCCGGCTGGCCCCCACCCCCGCGCGGCCGCCCGGCCGGGGGG